GGGTGGTTTGGATAATGGGGAAGTTATTCCACCAACATGCCTGCTGTTTTATACTTTCAGTAATACAAGGAGTCTTTAATGTCATTTTTGCTAATACGATTACTACTGCAGGTGCAAATTGTACTGCACGTAAAAAATATTCCCTTGCTTGGCCTTGAGAGGCAAGCGCTGTTCGCGAGCACCTATTTAGATTTGCACAACACGCCTAGGGGTTGTGTGGCCACCACTATGCCTTTGTCTCCCCGGGTTTGATTGTTATTCTCCAGACCAGCAGCTAATTTAAGGCCGATTTACCTAGATACTGCCTAAAGGTCGGTATCAGATACGGCTAATTTACCTCGTGCATCGCTGGCTGACTGGCAACTGAACCCATTTTACCAGGAATTCTGTTGCTCCCCATGTACTTACACACATGCACAGAAGTATGTGCACGTGTCAGTGTATTTTATATATTAAGTATGTTGCAATGGAATATATGGAAAACCTCATGTTAGAGCACATTTCATTGGTTACACACTTAGTTCCTTTTTTTTGCTGTTCATGTTGTAAGGTTTACGCTTCCTCTGTAAAGACACTATTTTCTTTGCGATGTGCCACAGGAAGCAGGAACATAGTTTTAGTGTAACATTCAAGGGATTATTTGGAGTTTACCTATGCATACCATTCCATTACCTATGCATACCATTCCATTTTTTTATTAAAGAAGATTAAAATATTTTTTGATTAAATGCTACCACCATAAAGTTACTTAGTTGTTAACAAAATGGCAAATGCATCTATTTGCACCTGTGTAATGGTTTGATTTATGTTTCAATAGATTTAATTCACAAGATAATGGGTTGTACTGTTTGCGTGGAACGTTTTTACAGTGAATCGAATATTTGTTGATCGTTTTCATACACACAAGCATTCACAAAAGCCCTTGTGAATATATATATAGAGAAGATAAGTGAACGATATCCATCTGGGATAAATCCAGCCTTTGCACATTCTTTCCTCAGTCTATATTACAAAATGAGCAGTCTTACAATTTGTTTTAGTTTAAGACGGCTCGTTTTGTATTTGGCTAGTTTGCACAGCCTCAAGATCACGGTTTGTGGGCTATAACGGAGGGCACCGTTGTTTAATTTCCGACCTGACCGATTCTAATTATGGTCTGCACCACGTGGGTATTATTAAAATTTCCCCCCGGGGGGGGGGGGTATAGACACCAAATCAAATGGACTGTAAATAGAAATGGTGGTTTAAAAAGTTTCTTAGAATAAGTGTTTGTGTGTAAAATAAAATGTGTATTTTTGCAAACGTCGGTGTGGGTAGGCAAGTGTGTGAGCGAAGTAGCATTAAAGCTCTCCAATATGTTTTGGGGTTGTACTGCTTGTTTGGAATGATGTCCGACGTTTCACTCCATGTGCTGGGAGCCTCTTAGGTATTATTTCTTCAGAAAGCGTGCGGTACAACCCGTAAACACATCATAAACTTATGCTACACGACCGCCAAAATCTATGCAGTAGGATTTGTCTTAACTCCATCGCGCCATGGCACCTTTTAAAGATAATACATTTGGTAGAGGGACCTGGGACGCAGCTGAAATCGGTCAATTTTAAACACTGCCGGATTATAACTTCAATATTATGCCAGGGCAAACCCTGCTGCTGTGGACGCACTGCCGCCGTTCTATTTCCGAAAGAAAAAAAAAATCCGCCGAAAACAAAATGGACAATGGTACGTTTTGCAAATGCCCTCCAGGAAAAAATCCGTGCGGTCCGAGCGCCAGCGGGTGCGCTCAGACGATGCCACCCTCCATTTGTGATGCGTGAGTGCCGCCACCCGGGGACTCGCTTCCCAGGATGCTGCACAGCAGGCTGGCAGCAAAGCGTAGGTGCATGGGCACGAAGGCGTAGGTGGTGTAGGCCACCATGGCCATCACTGACAGGAAGATGGTGTTGAACACGGTTCTCTCCCAGGGCTCCATGACGTAGCAGCACGTGACCAGCAGGTACTGGTAGCGGAGCCAGCAGAGGTACTCCTTGATTCCTCGTCGGTGTGCCGGTGGGGCCATTGCTGGACAACCCTAAAGCCTGTGGGTTTCTGGAGGGGTGACAATGGGATAAAAGGAAAATAAATAATTGGTCATGACATGGCCCTGATAGAACAATTAGTAAATAGGCCAATATGCATTGGCCTAATGCAATAATAAGACTTAAACATGAGGATTTCTCCACAAATCCTACTGTTGCTTAACTAGTAACTAATTGGCATGTTTTGTTTACGTAACAACCCCTACTAAATTGGCTGTGTCGGGTGGTGGCAGGTTTAATGACATTTATGCCACCTAACCCAAAAAAACTCTTATGGATGATAAGCAAATATGTTTTGTCGGGCACTAATTCACAATTGACAGCTGACAAAATAAAGGCTGTGGGTAAAATCAAGCAGGGAAAATAAGTGATGCATGAAGTGTGAAAATCCACTTAACTCTCTGTCAAAATTGCTGCAAGATTTGTGCTCCCTACGGCCACACTTTGATGCTGGCAAAGATGCTGGCAAAGATGTCCGTTTCAACTCAGGTTGTTACAATTTAGGTGTGGATGTTTGAACAGTTTCAATTGCAGGTGGAAAACAGCAAGGAATCCACTTGGTCAATTGTAAAGGTTATCGCGTGGGTGACTCGCAGTGCCAAGCCCCAAGTATGACTCACTTGTGGTTAAATAAAGAGAGAAGCACTCTGCAGTTTCTATTCTTAACATATAGCCTGTAATTTACATTTTTTAAACGATGGCTAGGGGGGGGGGGTGCATTTACCTGGTGTTGTGTGGTGAACTCTGCTTGCAATTATATGACTAAAATTGCCTATTGTAAAGTATTCGTTTGCAGGTGTCACATAGGTTTAAAGCTGGTTTCAGCTTGCAACCGTCACAATGTAACGGTTGCAAAATACATCCGCGCAGTTGACGTGCGATATTTATAGACGAGTGTCTTCCATTTTCTTGGTTCTTTCGGTAAATTCACATAGAAGGGAAACAATAAAATAAAAAAAATATATAAAACAATAAAATTCTCACGACGTTTCGACTGCAATACAAGCAATCATCATTAGGCAATCATCTTGCTGTGGTTTTCACACCTGATGATGATTGCTTGTGTTGCAGTCGAAACGTCGTGAGAATTTTATTGTTTTATATTTTTATTATTGTTTCCCTTCTACGTGACTTTACGGAAAGAACCAAGAATATGAATCCCTGCAGTCACGAAAGCTTTAAATCAAGAGTCTTCCAGTTTACGGAATCACAAAGTTGAACGGTGAGGGCAGAAATTAGATCGCATTTGACAGCCAAGATTTGTGTTAGCCCCCATGTCGTCTACTGAAGCTGTTCGACTTGTAAAAGGGGCTGCGTTCTGTCACCAATGTTCACTCATTGCCAAGCAGTGTGGAATGTCCCCTACCCTAACAGCTGTGCATCGTAAGCCAATGAACTCGGGAAGTAAAACCGGACACTTCAGTTTTTAGCGTTTCGTGCCCCGACGAACTCTCCCGGGCTCCCTCGTGAATATATTTGTTTCTCATGCGCAACCTGAAGTCATGTCGCTCGGGTCGATATCCTTGTTGCTGCAACACTTGCTTTTATGTCAAGATGCCGACGACGACACGGTGTTTTTCATGCGCAGTTTAGAATAAGTCAGAGCTGGTCTCCCTTCGTGCTCACTGGCAAGAAATAGAAATTGCTGTATTCATTACTTGGTTTGCTTATTATTTGGTCTGCCTTGTTTACAGTGTTGTCTGCTCCATTAGCTTAAATGTAACATTTAGCTTCACATTTCCACGTGATATTAATAAATGGGTTTTAATTGACAAGTCGTGGCATGCCTAACAAGCACTTGTCAACTCAGACTGGTACAAACTTTAATGACTCCGGAGAGATGATTGGCGTGGCCTAGAAATATGCACTTGGGATTTTTTTTTATATACACGACAGCTTCACGCCCGATTTATTTATTTGCAATCGAGGCCACATGTGACAGTTGTCGTAATGACAACGTTGCCACGACAACAACAACAAATGATAAGTCCAACGTCTCTATGCTCGCGAAAGTGTGAGCATCAGTGTCAGTTGTGGTGCTGCTGGTCCATTGTGGGGGAGTGGGTGGGGAAGAGGCTGCTTTCCAATTATAAACTCCCCCGGTGAGATAATATTTAGTGAGATTTTTACATCAATTGGCTTGTGTTTATTACGATCTGAATTCGAGCTGCTGATATTCCATGCATTTCCGTGTTTTTCATTAACCCAGAGCTTGGTTTGCTTCTGCCAAGTGCCACAGCTGGACAGGGCCAGTAGCACGTGGAGTTTTGTACGCAGATCAATACTGTCTGTAGTCGTCTTTTAAGGCGGCAATCCCCCGACAGAGTTATGTGGAAATTGAACTGCTCACTCAGGGTGGTCAAGGGACGATTACCACCCTAACACTCCCTGAGCAAGGGATACACTATCACAATCAATTTGATCATTCACAATGTTAGTTTAATTGTCGCGTGACAAACACTATTTGCAGGGCATGTTAAAGGAATGCCCCGAATGTGGATAATGAGGGTTATTCCATGGACTTCACAGTTGGTTCTGTCATCACCCACGGCCCTTTTCACAGCCACTGCTTTCTGTGAGAGTTCTCAATTAAAATGTCTCTGACCATCATGCTGATATCACATTTGGAATTCAAACTGATGTGTATAGACCCCATTAAAATAATATTGAGACATTTTAAATCATATTCCTGTACATGCCCAGCAATCTGAATGGGCGTATTTAATATTTAACACCCTTTTGTAAGATATAGAGCCATTCCTTTCACAATATTCATTCACCTATCTATATAGAAAAGAGTCATCCTGTACAATGAGAAAAAAAAGAGAAAATAACAGACCTGGCAGAGAACAGTGTGAGTGACTCACTTTTTTTAGTTTGTCGTCCTTCCCCTGCGCCTCTGTTTAGCACGGTTGGCTACGTACGGTGCGAAAGAAGTTCAACATGTGTACATAAATACTTTGCATTCTATCGTCACGCAGTGTGTTGTTTAAAGGAGCATGTTTTTAGTTCGACGGGAGTATTGCCAAGCTCAAGGACCCTTGAATGATGGCATATCCTGCATTAGTGCTATTCATGCCAAATAGGCTGAATGCCATGCACGGAGTATATCGTAAAAAGCCATAACGATCATGTTCCGGCCAGATGTATATCGCTATTAATATTTGTATGTCAATAAATGGGGAACTTATATAGGCAGACAATATACATTATTGGTAAGTCTTATATTATACGAGTCCCTTAAAGCAGCTGGGTCCTGGTGCATATTATAGATAGATAGGGAACACAGATAGCATAAAATGAGAAAAAAATATTCATCATCGGCCTTGGTCAATCCACTGCTGAATGAAGACCATCCCAAGCTACTGCGCTCTCTCTCTCAATGCTGCAATGTAAGCAGTCCACCTAAAACTTGCACACGAGGTGAATTCACCTCTCCATCTCCTCTCAGACAAAGCTAGCGATGACTACGGTATTAAGCTTACAGGTTGAGGGACCGACTTATGTCCTTATACGCCTTATATAAAATGCTTAGACATGAGGGCATATAAGGTGAGAATTCAGTGGTTGAATGCAACTTGGGTTTATCGGCCTAAAATTGTGCAGAGGAGGGGAGCATTGTTGCAGTTAAGCTCTAGGAATCCCGTCAAGCTAGCTGCCAGTACCCAAGGCACCTTTACTACACCCCTGTATGCTACTGGCCCACTCCTTCCGCCCTCTAAAATCTCCACATTCCTGGGCCAAAAGATGAAGCGGGCTCTCATAGACATCAGGCGCTCCTGTTGTTTACAGGGACGTAGCGTGGAGGCATAGAGCCAGTAAAAAAAACACGCTTGGTTTAATGCCTCCTCCATTCGCCCTCTTTGTCCACGGAGTTTCGCACCCCGTTTGTTCTGGGCCTTTTGGCGAGTGAAGGGGAGGAAAGTCAGCGGCGCAAGCTTAGCCGCACATTTCTAACTCATCCTCCCATCGTTGTAAAGTATTGCACGGTTACTCGTTGGGCGCGTATAGCTCTTACGCGAAAATGTAAACAAATTATTTGGTGATAGTTTCATTGGCAGTGTTGCACAAGCACAAATAACATGTGCTGCCGAAGACCAGCCCTTGCTCAAAAGATTGCCTTATATACATTGCCTTTAAAGGCAGAGTTACTGACAAAGTATTGATTTTTTTCTCATGCTCAAGATACTGCATGCAGACCCGCACACGTAAGAATTGATTATTTGCTCGTCATTGTTATTTATTATTTATACCGCACCTCCCCTTGCAGTACATCTCAAGGTAGCAGAAGAGGCGCTTTTTTTATAATTTCTCAGCAAGGAAATGACTGCAGAACATAACATGTGAAGCAAATGTAAATTGTCTGCAGATTATATACAAATGTACCTTGGGAGTGAATTGATGAAACAAATGAGATGACACCATCGAAACAAACACAGAAGAAATTAGACATCACAAACAAGAGACACCAAAATGCTTTTTTTTTCCATTGAATGTTGACACCCCGAATGACACGTGTGCTCATGCTTTGTTTTCTACTCAAAAGGAGCAATGGGGGAGGAGGGTGCTCATCTCCTTTCATGACCAGAGCATGAAATAAAAATTCCACATTCCCACGGAAGGTTGCCAGGGTTCTTTATAAGGAAACTGTCGTATGTACGTATTCATTTTGAACTTCTTTCGCACCTTACTTAGCCAATCGTGCTAATCGGAGGTGCGGGACGACTATTGTTGACTACTCTGGGGTGTATTGTCAAGATAACATCTGAAACATGTCAATGTACAAGTTATTTAAGAGTGTAGACTTAAGATCTTGATACCCTATCAATATTGGCACGTGCTCCCTTATTGCTATCTCTGCGTGAAGCTCTATTGTTTGTTTTGCAATGTTTTTAACTGTGCCTTTGAAATTGCCAAGTCACACAGTATTCCAGCTAAGATGCGTGTTTAGCCTCGGAGCCCATACCATTGAGTAGGTCATGGATGATTGAGATGAAAACATCAAGGCACGTTGCTTTTATTTTGTTCATTCTTAGCATAGCGTCCCACCTGCTTGTAAGTGATGCTTTTGTCACGTATATTGCACACCAGCACTTCTTTCTACACGACGCGCCCAGTTCTTATCGACTACTAATAACGTCTCGGAACCTAACAAGATCGCACCGAGTTCTTAAGACTGGGCTTGGGGTGTTTGGCCAATTGGAAGTCCTGTTGTGTTTCTGCATGGCGTCTTGCATTTCGATGCCATGCATAACTCCAAATTGTACCTGAGACTATTGCCGGAGATATACCTCCTTTTAAGGAAAATAAACATCCACGTGCACCAGTTGATTTGAGCAACCTACTTGCGGTACTGTCTCCTACGGGCAACTCTCCGCTCCTGGAGGGTGGGCCATCATCTTGCACGTATGGCCTCGGTGCATCCACCAAATGCGCAAAATGCTGGCTGGACAAGCACGCGCCACCACACGTGCGTGCGTGTGTAAATGCATGAGCAGTGGCCCCCGTGGGTTTGTGCACTGGCGCTTCAAACACAGTCGCTCGGGTTCAATTCCCAGTCCTGGTTAACATCAGTGGCAAATGGTTCAGCACTTGTCCCATACCTCTGGGTCAGCACGGCTGTAGCTGAGTATCCGAAGTAGTGTGCGATTAACAGGACTGGGGACACAAAGGCCAGCCACTTATTGTACTTGCCACTTAGTCACCTCATGTGATTGTTTTTTCCTTCATCGATGCTCACTAACAGTCTTTGCACTTGTATGGGTAATGTGTTTGTGTGTGTGCGTATACGGGCATATTGCATTCCGCTATGAACCCGGCAAACCGAGTTTGGTGCCTAGCAAAGACTAACATCAGTTAGTCCTGTAACTCCCTGAAGTTGGCTCAACTTTAAAATGAATACCTGTATAAACATAGGCAGCTGGACGTGATGCTGAGCACACCACCTCCTTGTTGTGCCATGTCGGCCTTCATTCGTGGTCACAAACAGCAGTTTCCCCAACAGTCTATATGAAGGCTATATACAGGGGATGCATGTTTTGGTGTGTGTACGTGTCAGTGCCTCTGGGTGACTGTGGAATAATGCACGAGTGCAGGCGTGGCTGTGTAACGTGCACTCGGGGTGTAACAATTCAATTACCCCTCCTTACCCGTGGCGACTTGAAGAATTCTTGCAATTTGTGGGTCATGGTTCCATTTGTCAGGTCGTTTTTCATCTTATTTTTATCATCTTGGTTGTGCTCTCTCATTTGGCCCATCTTGTTTGCTCCTTTAGCCTAAATATTGTATTGGCATATCAATTGCATTAACTATTTTAATCTCCGATCGCCACATTACAGGGTCCTAAGAGATGGCGGTGGCTTCCCGGAGGCCTTCATCCAGCAGTGGTTTATTCATACGTACTGTAATTTGCATGAATTTAAAAAACATGGATTCATTAAACACGCGATTTGTACTATGAACTTTACAAACAAATTATCAATCGATTAATAGATTACTTACTCCATCCCTACTATATATGTCAGCGGTTACCTGGGTGTTTGCGTGCGCAAGTGTCATCACTTTGGGGAGAGGTGGCGTGTTGGTTAGCGCACTGCAAAACGAACCCGTTGACGTACGTTTTAATTAGCAGCCACGGATAACATCACTAGTCATTGTTCGTGCTAGTTATGTACCTTCCCAAGATCAACTTAGCCTTAAGAGAGAGTACCTTATACGATGTGTAAACATCTCCACTGGGGAGACGAAGTTGGCCGGGCGTGGTGCTGTCCGACACCACCCCCTTGACAAGTGCCATCCGGTCTTTCATAGGTGCTCGCTCAGTAGCACTTGCCGCAGGGGTTGGAGGGACGATCTTTGCCTTTGTAAGACAGTCATCATTGGCGCGAGAAACTAGTTGGTCTCTTCTGCTCCTGGGTGATATTTTGTAATGGGATACGTTTTGTTTTTCATTGCACCAATCTGCCTCAAGATGCTGCGCGTACACGTAACGGCCAAGCAAGAGTAATGTACGATTAGATTACTCTTGCCTCGCCGTGTACATTTAAGAGATAGCATGCCTATTTGCAAGGAAGACTTGAGGGAATACAGGCTCCTAAACACATGACTTACATCCATGAATAAACAACCTAAAGGTGCAAATGTGTGTATATGCGTACGCAGCACAGTGGGGAGCAGTAGTGTTGCGGTTAGCACGCTACGAACCCGGCGACCCGAGTTCGATTTCCGCTCATGGCCAACACAAGTGACGATTATATGAAGCGGTCCTGGGCCTCCCCTAGGTCGACTCAGCCTCAAATGAGTACCTGATGTGGTGTGTAAACATCACCACTGTGGAGACAAAGGCGACCGGGTGTGGTGCTGGCCACCCACCCCCTCGTGTGCCGTGCTGGCCTTCATTATAGGTGCTACCCGCTAACAGCACTTACCCCAACAGTCTGTTCAGGCTAAATGGGGGATCTTTGTCTTTGCATTACGCACAAACGTGTCGATAAAAAATACAGGGGGAACATTGTGCATAAACAGTAAGCTTTGAGAGGAGTGCCGGACAGAGTGAATGACCATTAAGCGAACCAGCTGTTGTGAATGCTAGCAGTATCTTGCCATGTGTTGTAAAAAGCGGCTGTCATAAATCCAAACCGTGTTTTTGGACAGAAAGAACAGCATAAGTGAAGCTGGTGACTGCCCAACCACTGCATTGTGTTTTGTGTGATATCCTCGTGTACATTACCAGCATAATCGAGCACGCTATAACAATGCGGAATGGGCTCGTTGGAAGGAAGCAACGCCAGCAGGAATTTTTGCAGCATGATTTCATGAGTCCCGATTCAATGAAACCCAATTCGGCTTTCTATGCGGGACCATGACGGTACATTTTGCCCCACTGCCTTCTGCGGTCCACAACACAGCCCTGCAAGCAAATAGCCGCCTGCATCACGCTTAAATCCTGCCTTTACTTTTGAGATCTGTTGCGCTTGTGCACGATTTCGTCATGAGATCAGATAGACATATCTTTGTTTGTATTATCCCAGAAATGGCATTGTTTAACACCAAATACACTGCTGCTTATGCTGGTTCTTCCTAATGGAATTTCCCAATGTTCACATCCCCTGCAGACAAGATGGAACGATCCAAACCACCTGTGCAGGCATCAGAAATTTGGATCAGTCCATATTTTCTAGGGGTCTTGTAGGGGAATGCATGGTGCCCCTGTTGTGCATGCTTGACTTTATTTGCTCAGGAAAGCTTCATAAGTATTATAAAGACTGAGAGAATCTGTCAGCACCCACCTACTTGCTGCACTCAAGTAAAGAACCATTTTTTTACCTACGTGACTTTACCGAAAGAACCAAAGAGTATGGCTTTCTGCAGTCACGAAAGCTTCAAATCAAGGTAAAAAGAGTATACATTATTTTTACTTGGTATATTTCAATTGTGCTACTAGCATCGTGTCATGACACTTAAATAGTTTGGTTAAAAACGGTGAAGCATGCAATGCGCGCACCACCTTGTGTGTGGAATGGCTCCAGGAGATGCAATCACCAAACTACTTATAATTCTAATATAGCAATGTCCTTTTACAGACCAGGCAATGTCCATGCAACACCTTCCCGTCGTTGTAGCTACAAATGTCTCTGCCCGTTTACAATGCCTGTAAGGGGAGGCACTTGCACGCATTGCCCTGTAAATGCACCTTTCTCTAATCAAGCCTGCATTGACCATTGTGTGTATGTTTGCGACCAGTGACCCCATCATTGAATGCCTCAGAAGTGAGCTATTGTAAAATTTAGTGGAATAATGTGCACAGCTTAAAAAAAAGTAATCAAAACCGCTTGTGTATGTGCGCGTGCGCCCCAGAGAGCAGTATTGTAATTGACTTTAGCCGCTCAATGTTACTTGCTATGGTTATGAATGTCTTTGCAAAGAAACTCGTAGGTGGCCTTTAACCCACTACAGTCTGACTTATCTTATTTTTCCATTAATCTGTATATCGTAACACGATGGAGTTTTAAAGACTGTGACGAACGCTACGTTTTGTTATTATTTAGCCCGTGGCTTAGTGTTTAGACATACTCTATCTATATATTTTTTAAACATCCCCAAAGGGTTACGTGAGTCCACAGTAACCCTCCCACCTCTGCACTAAAAATGTCAACATTCGTAATCTGCAAAGCATTTGTTAATTTTTTTGTTCTCACGTTCATTTTTCACGAAAAAAAACCTTTATTTTTTTCTCCCCGTTAATCTGTTTCACCAAGTTAGTCCCCCTTTGGTCTACCGTTGAAGGGAAAACTCCCGTTTGGGGAGTAGGTGGCTGGAGGGCAAACACTGGGCAATGCAAATAATTGTTAGGAATTTTGAGAAATAGTTCAAAGTTAACTCCAGCGCAGTGCAAAGCCAACACACCTGACCAGGTAAAGCACGTGCAACACACACAGCGCCAACAATGCCACGGCTACAAGCAAATATAAACAGAAAGTTTGTTTTTAAATCACTGAGCACATTGCTTTATGGCAAGTTCAGTGAGTGTACCTCTTTAATAGCTTCGATCATCTCACAAGTATACTTTGAAATCCCAGGTAGTATATATAAATTATAGATCTTATTGCAATATATATCATCACTCTTCAACCACTCCTGGTAACACAAATAAGTCTTGTTGTTTGTTTGCTTAAGCTGTTTGTCATTTTCCTTTTTGTCTCCATGGAAAGCAGCTTGGACACTTTGTTGAGCGTTTTTGGTCTTGCAAGGTAATGAATATGAACTGGCGATTGCAATATCGTCCATGCTGGCGAATTGTCAAATTATTTTGTGAGCAGATGCATATTGAAATCTCCAGTACGATCATATGGGCCATATACAGACAGTGTCTCACAAGTTTCTGGAGCTTTGTCTTTCATCGCAATATATATACTTTTTTTATTTACATCACGTTGCTCTTAAGCACATGAATGCTGAGGAATTCTTATTCTCTTCTCCCAACATTAATTCGCAAAAATACACAAAACACGCATGATCCAACCTGCTACACTCAGCGAACACTTAAGTGAACAATGCAAAAGAAACACGCACACGTATGATAATGCATTGCCAGTCGTTCACGACCACAAATAATAACTCGCATTCCTCGGCCACTTTGTTTCATTGGCAATATTTTGTGCAATTTGCCCCTTTCGTAGCAGATGATATGAAGGACATTACAGATTTAAGTGAATAATAAATGGAGACTGCACGATACACTATGGTGGAATGGTAATGCAGTCGTCAACTATTAATCACGCACTCTCCAGCCTATAATGAAGAGCCATTTCCTGAAATATCACCTGTTATATTTTTATCCTTTTCTGGTAATGTTATTAACCAAAATGTGCCGAGTTTTTCGCACCTATGAAGGCGGCGCATTGCGGCATAATCGTACCTTACGAGTGAAAAACGCAGAACGAAATAAATTTCTTGAGTTGGTTCAAGCGCCGCTGGTTCGGGACGAGGTTGACAACGCTTGGAGCTCCCTCCGAGGTTTCCCACTGCAGAGATTGTGGTGTCCTTCTGCCACCCCGTTTCCTTTTGTAATTCACGAGGGCGGTCCGTCTCTGCAGCGCAGCGCCGCGTGATTGGCCCGCATGCCGCGGTGGCGTCACGCGCGGCTTGCACCACGGGAACAGGTTTGACGACAAGCGCAGTGGGGGAGTGGGAAGGGTGGTGCTGCCACATGATTGAGTGGGCATGGGATTGTATTTTGCTTTTGACGCAAGAGAAGTGGGGTGTAAAGGCAGTAAAAAAAATAAAGGCTACGTGCGCCAGCAGACTGGTTTTTCAGGTATTTGTTTTAAGGCTGAAGATAGTGTAGCCGCAGGGGTGGTAGGTATGGCTTACGCATGAATTCCCATTAATCTTGTAAATAAACCACTCATTTACGTTCTAAAAAATATATATTTTCATAAAATATATTTTTCATTATTAATCACTTAAAAACATTTTGAGACCAGCCTATGAGATGATAAAAAACTACGTTAATTACGTGAGGTGAACCATCATCTACTTCTGAGTGGGTTGCCTCTAAGTTGTGCATACATTGGAATGCTGTGCATACATTGGAATGCTGTCTTAATTCATTTCATAATCAGATATTATCAATCCATTGCTGGATAAAGGCCTCCCCAAGCCATCACACCGTCTGTCACGATGGTGACATGTAGCGTTGCATTCAGCAACTGCACACAACCAGATTTCATCGCTCCATCTCCTCGGTGTAAGTCCTCTTGGACATGCATGAGTCAGTTTAACACGTAGGCTTTCGTGATCAATATCCATAATAGAGATTTTTGGGTTAGATCGCTTAAATATAAATGTGTCGTTAAACCCCGCCACCACACGACACAGCCAATTAGTAAGGTTTGTCATGTAAACAAAATGTGGCAATTCGTTACTAGTATGGTACTGGTGTATTGGAGAGTAAACCCACAACATTTACAGTTTGAGTACTCGAATTGGCACGTTTTGTTTACGTAACAAACCTTACTAATGAGCTGCATCGGGTGGTGGAAAGTTTATATTTACACGATCTAACCCAAAACCCTCTATTATGGATGTATGAGTTAATAAATCAGTTCCTTTCTTTGAACAAAATAGTTCAACTGTAGATATGACAGACTGGGGAGGGAAACTTTTTTGAAAATGTAATTGGGAAAAAAGAAAGCATGTTACATTTCTATAGTGTTAACCACCTCAGGTAGTTGTAACAATAAATGAGCGACAGGAAACAACTTTTGAACTCAATAGAGGAGGCTACAAAGTGGGGTTAAAACTGTCAGTGCCTTCCTATTCTTTGGTTCTTTCGGTAAAGTCACGTAGATAGAAAAAATAATAAAAACCACGACGTTTCAGAGTGTTGTGTAACTTGGTGAGAACTCAGGAGACCAGGGCATTGTCATTTTCAAGAATGACCTACGTAAGAGCATGTAAAATAATGTCGCTGAACAATAAAATATATTGTTGGAGGGACACCACTATATCTTTGGCAATAATTGAAGGTGGGCCAGGATTTAAATGAAGTGATAAAGATGCGAGTCAGAGGAGGTTATGCTTTGTTTTGGAAGATGTAAATTGACAATGAAGAACGGCATATCAATATGTCGAAAGAGAAACATGTCCAGTCAGTACGTATAAAAAAACAATAAGATGGGCTCGAAATAAACACTGAAGAGTAGTAAGCAAAGAAGCAACAGTGATACTTGCTGGGCTGAGAAACAGAACAAGGAACACATGTATGCGAGAACAAATATATGCATGAGACATACTGTACACAATTCTGACAGAATTCCCCAATGATGCTGGTTGAAATGTCACGACACTCATTGTAAATGTTGTGGATTTACTCTCCAACACAACGTTGGTGCTGACGTAGTAACTAATTGGCACGTTTTGTTTACGTGCCAAACCTTACAAAGTGGCTGTGTCTGGGTGTTGGCGGGTTAACGACATATTTATACTTACGCGATCAAACCCCAAAAAAAATCTTTATTATGAATAATATTGGTGGCGAAAGCCTGCGTGTCGCGTGTACAATTGACCGTTCATTGAAACTGGTCTTGGGATAGGGAAAGTCACAAGAAGGGATGAGGGCAAGTGGAAGAGATTGCTGACGGAATGACAGCCAAATGAGGCAACTCGCCAAGGAGGATGAACACCCCAGAGGTGGATTGCAGAGATCAACTCGCTGACCTGCCATTCCTGGACATCTGTGAAAAAGAGCTTCGTAGCTCATCAGATTCCTTCTCCAGTTCTCGATGAAGATTCTGATCTGAACTCATCGGCAGGAGTTATATTGTGGCATCGCAGGACCATGAGCGACGTCAGTGGTGTGGCGGAGGCCTTTGTCTAGCAGTGGATTTGTCGCGACTGGTGATGATGAGGATGTGTTTTCCTTTTAATGTAATCTTTGTCTTGGGGATTGTTTGTGGAGTTGGACAATGAGAACAAGGGTGTGGTGGAATGCATCGTTGGCTAAGCGGCCCCCCAGGGCACGAGTGGTAGTTGAGTGATCTTTCCAGATCTGCTCGCAACGAATCCACTGTGCGATTTACAAAAGCCCCCTTGTCTCGGGGAGCTCATAGTCCCGCCACCGCCACACCAACAGTAGGCGGGTATGAAACATGCCAATTCCAAATTCTCATCTGAAGATCAATTCCTGATCGATCCTACACAACTCAAGAGAGATGGACTTATTATATATATATTAGTGTGATTCATTTCTCTTTGGCATTAATAGGAAGTTTCAGATGCGCTTTTGCGGCTGACTGAAATGTTCTTCCTTCCGATATTAGGACCCATCTGGAGCTATGCACTTTTAAATCTAGAATGGAAGCTAATTATTTGAGAACTACTTTTCATGTTTAGTTTGTTGTCATCCCCCCCCACTGCATCTCCGATTAGCACGATTGACTTCGTACGGTGCGAAAGAAGTTCAACATGCATACATACATGCATACGTAGTAACTCATCAAAAGGGCCAAGTGGCATTGCAACCAAAAAGCTGAGAAGCAAGAATAAGGAGGAGGGGTGTTGGGAGCAGTGGTAGGGTGAGTGGCAGTGTGGGGTCTGATATGGGTGGCTGGTTGCCTATTGGGGTAAGGTTGGGCTCATTGGGAAGACTAGTTGTAGAGGACGCCTTTTGGCGCCTTTTGGCGTCCTCTGGTCTAACACCGTTTGAGACGAGGCTCAAAATAAAGCTGTCTCTGGTGTGGACCAATTAGTTTCAAGGACAATGCATATATTATCAGAGTTTTTTTTTGCATTCTGACCACAAGCATTATGGTTAATGCAGACATGATTCCTTGTAAAAGGTTTCAGTTTGGTGTTTTAACATCTTAACACCTGTTTTGTTGCCAAAAAAGGGGAAAAACTATTATCAGCTGTGTATAATGTTCACTACAGGACAACGTCTTATATATTTGATGCCTTGGTGACTGAGGCATAGGCAAATACCGATATAAAGCAGTTACAACGTGTATAAATAGGCTACTGGACAAAAATATACTGTAAATTGCTTTAAACGTTGGAAATTGCTTCACTGTGCTTTAGAAGTAAGCAAATAATTTATCGACTCATACACACATTACTGACTCTGACGAGGTTGGGTTTTGCCAACATCTTTAGAAAATGACATTAACCCCGTGCACAAACGCTAGACCGAGTGTGGGCAGTTAATTGCTCATGGCAGATACGTGGCGGTCGGATATGCGTTGTTGTACTGCTCTGCCGTGTTGCTTCCTTAACGTGCACCCAGTGCCGCCCGCTCTGCACGTGCTCTTCGCCTCGCGTGCTTGAGCCGTCGCAAATGAAGAGAGGCATCCGAAGGAGAGCGCATGCACATCGGCCCTGGGGAGGCACTCACCTTCCGTCGAAAGCGCAGATGTGAACGTGTGCGTGCACACACGCGTGTGCCCCCCTCTTGTCAGCTTGCAAGATGCTCACACACGTTGCACAATCGGCATTTGCGTGGCTGCCTGCGCGAGTTGAAGCTTTCAGAATGCCACCAAGGCTCGCCCGGTTATTTATTTCATTCGGCACTATCCCCGGCGGAGCCTACACCCCACCCATCACGCACGAAGACAAAGATCCCCCGCATAGCCTGAACAGACTGTTGGGACAAGCGCTGTTAGCGAGCTCCTATGAAGGCCGGCACAGCACGCGAGGGGGTGTGTGACCAGCACCACGCCCGGTCGCCTTTGTCTCCCTCGATGGAGACATATACACACCGCGCCAGGTACCCATTTGAGGCTGAGTCGACCTAGGGGAGGCCCAGAACCGTTTCAGATAATCGACACAGGTGTTGGCCGCGAGCGGGAATCGAACTTGGGTCGCGCAATTCGTGGCGCAGCTCGCAAACCGCTACACCACCGCTCCCCACACTCACGCAGGCGCACGCAGGCACACGCGCGTACGCCAGGGCGGGCGTGTGGATGTTCCACAAGCGTGCCGCCGCCGTTTGCTCGCTCGCTCGCCCGCCCGCCCTCTCCTTCGCTGACATGAGCACTCGACGCGCGTGCGTGCAGGTGCGGACGTATGTATTATTTTTGCTGAACTAAAATATAGGCAGCGGCGGCGGCCGGCAGTAGGTGGTGGAAAACGACGTGGGTGGCCGCACGATTCCCACCCTCCCCCCCCTGTTTTCACCAGGCACGCCGATGCTTACACTAACACATGCGCTGTCGTCACACAAACGCGCACGCTTGTGCGTCCATCTTTATTGGCATGCGCGTGCACATGAGTTGATGCGTGTGCACGCGCATATGTTAGGTTACGCACAAGCATTGGGGCACGTGTGTACACTGACGCGGATTTTGGGATGCACACATTTGAACAGGCACATGTTTGCATGGGGACACAAAGACAATTATCTCCCTTATAGCCTTTGCAGACTGTTGGGGTAAGTGATGCTAGCGAGCACCTTTGAAGGCTGGCACGGCACATTGAGGGGTGGGTGGCCAGCACCACACCCGGCCGCCTTTGTCTCCCTAGTGGTGATCGTTACACATTGCACCAGCTACCTTTTGAGGCTGAGTCGACCTAGGGGATGCGCAGGATAATCGTCGCTTGTGTTGGCCGCGAGCGGCAATCGAACTCGGGTCGCCGGGTTTGTAGCACATCACGCTATCCGCTGCCCACATATACATTGGGACAAACAAAGATCCCCCCATATAGCCTTAACAGACTGTAGGGGCAAGTGCTGTTAGCGAGCACCTATGAAGGCCGGAACCGTACACGAGGGGGTGGGTGGCCAGCACCACGCCCGACCGCCTTTGTCTCCCTAGTGGCAATGTTTACACACCGCACCAGGTACTCATTTGAGGCTGAGTCGACCTAGGGGAGGCCCGGGACCGGTTCAGATAATCGTCACTG